TAACTCTGAATAAAAATACTCACAATTACTATGTCTAATTTGACTTGAATTATGTATAGATTGTAATAGTTTAATAGCCAGTTGTAGTCTTTAATCTATCCATACAAAAACAAACAGTACATACAGGAGAATATTGCAGAGAAATGGTGAAGACGAGGAGCGAGATGGAGACATACTGTGAGGAGAGGGTAGAAGGAGAGAGAGTCAGTGGTAAAATGTAATCTTCTGGGCCTCATCAGGACTCTCCATCGCGCCGCAGTGACAGGCCGCCGGATAATTAATTATACCATTTCGATGAGAATATCGACTAAACAAAGCCATTACTCATGGCAAAAGTCAATAAGCATGGACACATTCAATCATGTCCTGCCCAGTGATTACTCCTTTCAAAATACAATAATTATTTTCAAGAGCTGCCTCGAATTAAATTTCTGTCAAGCCGGTACAAGTCTCGGGCTTGATGAAGGATGCCATGGATTTTTCTTGGCGGAGTGGTTTCCCCCGTGGACGAGCGTAAGAGGAGGCATTTATCCCGCTGGAGAGGTAGTTTGTTTTATAAGCATCATAACTGCAGCATGAGCGTCCGATTATCTGTGATGGCCCCATTCTGTGTCATCCATCTGCTGCCGGAGCAACGTCACGCTCGTGTCTGTGCAAAGATGTGCTGTGGTTTCGCTTCAGAAGCTGCAGACGCTGCGAGAGGCGAGGTTTTTCAATTTGATCGTGATGTTAACCTCCATTCAGCTTGTCCTGTGCAGCTTATCATGGACGTCACGGCAACGCACCCACGTGGCACATATACTTAGTGCTTTATACAGTCTGAACAAAACATTATAACATCCCAAGCAATCTTGCGTGATTAAACAGACATTATTAGTTGGATTCAAGCTGGGCTATCCATGTTAGCCGACCAAACAAAGGTACACAAGTAGACAAATGTGAAAAGCACACACACAAATGATTAAATGTTGGATTGAGACTCCATGGGCCATATTTGTTGTACAATTAGGACCTAATCTTGACAAAACAAATCCACAGCCGTAAACCCTTTTCACCAGAAGAGTGCATGAAGGAGTTAACATCACACACTCATTCATTCACATTCACACCCTTCAGACAGACGGTACTGCTGCCCGGTGCCACCACGGCGAGGTCCTGGCCCTGGCTTACCCGTCGGCGTTCAACATGGAGGCCCTACAGCAAAAACCTGTTCACCGCTCTCGCTTCATGTCGGCAGTGCCAGGGTCAGTTCATGCGTTCACAATCACTCTCCATGCTTCCCCATCTTGCAGAATTACTATCGCAGAAACACATCCGCAGTACTGTAGAGTAAGACTAAACCCGTCTCATGACATTCTCCCTCTCCTCCACTGTCATACCCTCACATTTGTAGAAGTACAGGGCATAAACACATACATAGCAAATAAAAACATAGTAAATGTAAGCCATATGAACATAATGCAACAATACAAGCTCAAACACCAAAGTCCATACCACCACCAAGGAACAGACTTCAGCAGGCTAAGGTTGGGGCTAAAGATAATTCCATCCATACCTTAAGGTAAAAGGCTTACTTCAGGAGCAGTGGTCGCCGTAGTAACAGCGCCCAGAACCCATCTCCACATGTTGATGCTCTTGGTCAGGACCAGAGCTGGAGGATTTAACCTAGTGTACATGTTTTTAGTGGTAGGGGAAACTGGAGTACCCGGCGGAAACCTACGCAAGCACGGGGAGAACATGCAAACTCCACTCAGAAAGACCCTGTTCCGACCGGTATTCAAACCCCAGAGTGCTGCCCAACACCCCGAAATTTCTAATGCTATCCACTCAGCCACCGCGCCGCCCTTGGCCTTCCTCTCGGTCTACTACCACTCATACAACTATTCGTCACTCGAGTCAAGTCGAGTCAAGTCAATCTCTCTTCCTCCATTCTCTGCATATGTCGATAGCATCTCAACACTCATGCATCTGCTCTACCTGCTTATACACAAATGCAACTATTCAGAAAACTCTTCATTGGTTCTGGCACTAGTGTTTTGGCCTCTGTCACATCTGTAGATCAGAAAAGTGAAAATTAGAGGACCTCCTTCAGCACGAACCATCAAATAGTGACTGTCCATTCTTCCACTACCTCCATCTCTGTGGTTAGCGTACGGTGGGCGCCCCAACTCTCGGCGTTCCCAGTTCACACAATGTTATATTAAACTCTTGTAAAGTCTGTATCATTCTGACTTTTAAAAGCTGTTAACTTTTCATATCCACCTTGGCGGCGCTGCACGGTTTAACAAGGAGCAGCCAGCTCATAATGCGATTTGTAAAAGTGATTCTGACGCTGTTTACAGACACTTAGCGCTGGCCTCCTCCACACTCCAAACCAGTTTAAGGTTTTACTCCACTCATTTAAGGCGGTATGAGCGGACAAAGACAGGACTGTGATGGAAGTGTGGCTGCTAACAGATATTACACTCTATCTAGTTAGGCAGGTCTGAAAAGTCTTCTTTAAATAAGTACATTTGAGGTCGTAATCTGGACTAGACTCTTGGTAGTACACATGTTTTTATGAACAATTTGGTAACTTGCTAATTGTTGTGACACAGATTAATGTAAATATTAAACTAATGAGGACAGCGAAAAGCTATATAAGTCATTTTTTTATGTTTTGTGCTGAGCTGTAATCAGTGTGGGCGGGTCCCGGCTCCAATGAGCACGTGTAATAACATGCTGCATTATCACTCCTGGCCAGTGGGGGTGTACCCGGAAACAGAATTACCCAATGCTTTTGAACTGCTTCTTTTTTCCTCTCAAAAACGTCTTTACAGAATGGTCCAAAAGTGGCTCATGGCCCAACACTATGTTCCAGAAGCGTGTGAATGCTGAGGGGAGTTTTATATATATTTTTGGACCAGCCTCGTTTAGCCGCTGTGGACTTTTGAATTCACTCGTTGGGGCTGGTGCCAGCTAACGCATGCGCAAATGCGTTTTTTCACATTTTCCTGTCCCTGCGGCCATTTTGAAAAGGCCCAATGAAGGCAAAAGGTGCGGCACATTAGTTTCAAGATAGGCGTGACTGCGTTCGTTCATGTTTACAGTCTATGGCTGTGATCCACCGTGATGTGGGACAGGAGCTCCTACTGAACCAGCGCACAATAACACAACAGCTGCTCCATGAACACACAACAGTAAAAGTGCAGAGTTCTTTCCCCAAACAGACGACTAATAGGATCAGTTTAATATGATCCAATATTCACGTAGATGAGTCCATCTTCAGGTCATGAGGTTTTCTCTGTTATCTCTGACTTTGGCCCGAGTTCGCCCTCGGCACAAACATGAGCCACAGCTGCGACGCTGATTTCATTTCACTTCATTACGTCTCATTTAAAAACATTCAGATACGAGTGCACTAAAAGGCTGTTATTGCCACGACCGTGTTCAAGAGCTCAGAGCAACGCCAGGATGAATAAATGAAACTGAAAGTAAAAGCTGTGTATTACAATTTAAAGTAATGACAAAGTGAAGGGCAATAATCTCATGTCTGTGATCAACGCCAGGTTTATCACGCTGGGACTCTGAGGAGCACAGGGACCGGCCTCCTGCTGGGACTCTGAGGAGCACAGGGACTGGCCTCCTGCTGGGACTCTGAGGAGCACAGGGACTGGCCTCCTGCTGGGACTCTGAGGAGCACAGGGACTGGCCTCCTGCTGTGGACTCTGAGGAGCACAGGGACTGGCCTCCTGCTGTGGACTCTGAGCAGCACAGGGACTGGCCTCCTGCTGGGACTCTGAGGAGCACAGGGACTGGCCTCCTGCTGGGACTCTGAGGAGCACAGGGACTGGCCTCCTGCTGGGACTCTGAGGAGCACAGGAACTGGACTCCTGCTGGGACTCTGAGGAGCACAGGGACTGGCCTCCTGCTGGGACTCTGAGGAGCACAGGGACTGGCCTGATGCTGGGACTCTGAGGAGCACAGGGACTGGCCTGATGCTGGGACTCTGAGGAGCACAGGGACTGGCCTCCTGCTGGGACTCTGAGGAGCACAGGGACTGGACTCCACAGGGACTGGCCTCCTGCTGGGCCTCTGAGGAGCACAGGGACTGGCCTGATGCTGGGACTCAGAGGAGCACAGGGACTGGCCTCCTGCTGTTCCCAGAGTCAGGACTAAACATATGGAGGCAGCCTTTCAGATCTATTTAGCTAAAATCTGGAGCAGTCTTCCTGAAAATGTGAGACAGGCTTCTTCTCTGGCAATGTTCAAATCCAGGATAAAACAGTTCTGTCAGCTGTGCATAAAACTGAAGTATTGTATCTTCACGTGTTATTATTTACAGTGTCTTGTGTATAACTTTTGCGATACAAAAAAAACGTACCTTTCCTTAATTATAATCATGGAGAATCATTTAGGGACTAATAATGTGAAAATATATAGAACTCAGTGACATTTAGAACAAAAAGGGGAAAAAAGGATAAAAAATTAGGATTGATTTATTTTCTAACATTCGCTCAGACAGATTTAGGTAAAAACGACCAGAAAAGTGTAAAATCTGATCCACATTTTTCCACTCTTTAATAAATATAATTGTTTTTCTGTGAACGGGTGCAGCTCTGACTGCCACCCCCGACCCAGACATGGATTAAAGGGAAGAAAATGGATAGTTTTTTCTGTTATTAAGATAAATGTCTCTCCTTTTATTCACTTACATGTTATTTTAGACCAGAGCCAGGATTAATCAACTTCAGCCCGATATCAACGCATTAACTGCCAAAGACGTATGTGTCTGAGACTGGGACTTCTGTCTAACTTCTCTGTTTTCACCTCAGGATCACAGAGGAACAGAACTAGCTTGAAACAGACTTATTTTTGCTGAAGAAAGTAGAAAGTCCAGTCTTTCAGAATCTGGTTTCATCTTTCACATAGTCTCAGCACATAATATTCTGCGGGTGTTGAAAGTCCGTGAAATCATCAAAATCGGCAGCAGTCAGTGAGTTGATGAAGGAACGACTTACTGAGGTCCCGTTGTTTTCCCGGAAAACGTCTTGGTTCACAAAATGGAAGCCCTTCTTCTCCAGTCGGAGCAGCACCTGAAACAGGAGACAGAGCCACCTTCCATTAAGCACTAGATTAATCTGTGTAATTACTGCGCTAACGAACGACTGATGGAGGACGTGCTAATTGTGCTGCGTGTCTGAGCAGAGGGTCAGGGCTCCAGGGAGACGTCTGCAATGATCACAGCCCAAACAGACGTCTGCAGTGATCACAGCCCAAACAGACGTCTGCAGTGATCACAGCCCAAACAGACGTCTGCAGTGATCACAGCCCAAACAGACGTCTGCAGTGATCACAGCCCAAACAGACGTCTGCAGTGATCACAGCCCAAACAGACGTCTGCAGTGATCACAGCCCAAACAGACGTCTGCAGTGATCACAGCCCAAACAGACGTCTGCAGTGATCACAGCCCAAAGCCCCAGTGTAGACCAGTATAGACCTCTATACACCGTTATACATGTATAACGGTGTATAGAGGTCTATACTGGTCTATAAAGGTCTATACTGGTCTATATTGGTCTGTACTGGTCTATATTGGTCTACACTGGTCAATATTGGTCTATATTGGTCTATATTGGTCTACACTGGTCTATATTGGTCTATATTGGTCTATATTGGTCTACACTGGTCTATATTGGTCTACACTGGTCTATAATGGTCTATATTGGTCTACACTGGTCTATATTGGTCTATATTGGTCTACACTGGTCTATACTGGTCTATATTGGTCTATATTGGTCTACACTGGTCTATATTGGTCTACACTGGTCTATATTGGTCTATATTGGTCTACACTGGTCTATATTGGTCTATATTGGTCTATATTGGTCTACACTGGTCTATATTGGTCTATATTGGTCTATATTGTCTACACTGGTCTATATTGGTCTATATTGGTCTATATTGTCTACACTGGTCTATATTTGTCTATATTGGTCTATATTGGTGCACCAATGTGTGTGTCTTGCCAGTGTTTGGTGGTTTGACTTTTTGTATTGACTGCTACAAGACCACAGTCATTTATGTGATATAAAAGTTATCTGGAACAGTCTTCCTGAAGATGTGAGACAGGCCTCCTCTCTGACAGTGTTTAAAACCAGGTTAAAGACAGTTCTGTTTAGCTGTGCTACAACTGAGGGATTTTATATTTTTATCTTTCTTTTTAATGTTCTGTGATTATTTATGATTTTAATGCTTTCTTATTTTGTTCAGCACTTTGAGTTGTGCATGAACCGTGCTATATAAATAAACTTGCCTCGCCTAAAACTGTGTGGTCAGAGTGAACTAAGACGAAGGATCTTCTGAGACTCACCTGTCGGTCGTTTTCCGTCTCTCTGAAGGTGATCCTGTCGACCTCCTCAGAGTCGGCGAGGCGGTCGGTCTGCGGCGTGGCACTGGAGCATAAACTCTGCAGAGACAACAATGCATCGGCTTTATACAGCGCTTGGTTGGACTCTCAGAGACGCTTTAAACAGTTATTCCTTCTCTCCAAACACGGTGGTGATAAACTGTAGCCACAGCTGCCCTGGGGCACACTGACAGTAGTAAGTAAGTAGTAGTAATCTTTATTTATATACCGCCTTTTCACTGCAGATCTGAGTCTCAAAGCGGTTTACAATTGTTAATTTTGGGCATTTGTCTCTCACTCCACACAGAGATGGGCGCATGCCAGAACTATTGGACATATTTTTAGTGGTAGGGGAAACCGGAGTACCCGGAGGAAACCTACGCAGACACGGGGAGAACATGCAAACTCCACTCAGAAAGGCCCTGGTCTGACCGGGATTCAAACCCAGGACCTTCTTGCTGAGAGGCGAGAGTGCTATCCACTCAGCCACCGTGCCGCCTGACAGAAGCCCCTCCCACCACCACCAACCACTCACACACACACCAGACTCATTCTAATGTGGGGGAAGTGTCTTGCCTAAGGACACAACCACAGTTTGGCACTTTAAAGCCGCAGCCGCCCCACTGTGGCACCTGCTGTTCCCAGAGGTTAAGTGTCTTGCCCAAGGACACAACAACAGCAGACATCCGTGAGAGTCTGTGGTGAAAGTCTTGTGGTGGACTCAAACCCACAACCTTCTGGCTCAAAATTCCTTGTGTTAAAACCCAAAACATGATGAATATTGTTAAAGAAAGGTTCTGCTGCTGGCTCCGAACCCACACATGTAAATATCATGTTCACAGAGAATTTAAACTATTGTTCTTCCTCCCGATCCTTTTTGGGTTCGAATAACGTACAATATTGTAAAAAGTAATTGTAAATGATTGATTTGCGAGAACAACACTCAACTGTGGCTGTCAGGAATGGAACTTTTGGATATATTTTCAAAACGGAAATATATGTTTTTGAAAATGTTCTTGACCAATATCAATATGTTTGCATTTATCCATCTCGAGCTCAAACTAACCCGAACAAAATACAACTTTAATTTTCATCCCTTTATTATCCATTTCTGGGTCGGGGGTGTGTCAATCAGAGCTGCCCCCAATTCACGCAGCACCAGTCCCTCTGATCCTCTGCAGGGGGGGTCCACAGGAAGATGGCTGCTCCTTCAACACAGATACAGCCTTGGTCTTTCAGTGGGCGCTTCAGGCAAAGTGGGGTTCAGTGTCTTGCCCAAGGACACAGCGACAGCAGACATCAGTGGGAGTAGTTGACATGGGTCGTGCTGGGATCGAACCCACAACCATTAGGTCCAAAGACCAACTACCAACTGAGCTACTGTCGCGCCCAAAATACAACTTAAAAGGTAAAGTCCCCTCAAAAGTACTTTAACATAAATGGTTCCGAATAGACTTCACGGCCACAAATCCAAACGCACTCAAACCACATGGCGTCACATGTAAATACGTGTTCGTCTCTTTAGCAGCTCTGTGTCCACTGCCCCTGGGCCTCTGTGCACTGACCCCATGGGCTGTGTGTGCGTGGGTTCAATTCCCCTTTGTGGACTCCTTTAACAATTAGTTAAACATTGGGCCATCTGTGTTTGGAGACAGTTGAATAAGGTAATCCCAGGGCCGTGGTTCCCAGAGCAGGCAGCGCACACAGAGCCCGGCCTGATTCACATTCAAAGCACAGAGCAGATAATCGGGTCAAGCCAATAAAACGCACAGGGAAAAAAGCCCTTTCGACGGAAATGTCACAAAATCAGAGCTGGAGAAAGAGCGGCACCAAAGATTAGAGCCAGAAGAAAGACATGCAGAGATATCAGAGCTGCTGCTTCTGACAAGCGTTTAAAGCTTCACTACGGAACTTTCTAGATATAAAGTTAGATTTTTTTCCTCAGAATGGCACAGAATCTACGTCTAATTTGAATAGAAGCAAATGCCTTCACTATGCACGTGTTTTACAATGTGGTTTTACTGCAAATGGTTAAAAAACAGATTTTTTTTAAACAGCAGACAGAGTTCTTCTTGGACGTAAAAATAAAGTAAGGAAAGTGAAGGGATCAATGTTGAAAATACAGACAGAAGAAGAGCACTCACACGTTGCTAAAATCCAGTGTTGTGCGTGAACGAGTTCAAAAGAACGCGTTTATTGAACACGCTCATTTTTTTGTGAACGTTGAACTGAACGCAGTGATTATGGGACAACTCAGTTCTGCTCACACTGAAAACCATGAAAACCGTGTAAATCTGTCTTTTTTAAGTCAAAGGCTCTCCTCCTGTGCAGTGTACAGGAGATAATATATAAGTAAGTAAGCAAACGGTGGGAATCTGGAGCCAAATGTGTGGGTAGCAACAGCCTAGCAACCGCCTAGCAACAGCCTAGCAACCAGGACCAGAGAAATCACATGTAGTGGACTATGGCTGATCAATCAACGTGAAGTTATAAAAACATTCTCCAACATGTCTTTTATAAAGCACTTAGCAGCACTCTTGTCCTGCTGTCATTATTGATTGATTTTTTATTCTTATTTATCCGACAAGAGGAGATTAAGTTTACCACATTAGCTAACAGACAAAACAGAAAGAAACATTTCAATATGATCATAAACAGTAAAATATGATAAAAGCACATTCAATTCAGGTCTTGGATAGCTCTGAATCACAGCAGCAGTCGTCGTCTCGGACTGGACAAAGTTGTTGAAACCCCGCTTTAGCAAAGTACTGCCTCCTGTTAGACTTATGTGCACTTTTATAACCTTCTTTCTCTGATCCACGTGTTAGCAACAGGCTATAACACAGTTTACACAAAAACTAGGTTGCAAGGCGGGTTAAATGCTTGTCGTACTGACCCACCAGCCCATGTCACTCACTGTGTAAATAATGGATGCCCTGAAGTTATTTGTGTTTTTGATGAATGAGGCCTGAGCGTGTAAACGACAAAAGCAAACCCACTTGAAAGCTGTGAAAAGTGGATTTTAAAGTTGCTCTTTCCCATCTCCAATATCTTTGCCTGAACCAGAGCAGACCCTCTCCTCAGCCCTCCCTCCCTCCTCTATTGCCTCCCAAACCCTGGTATCGTTGACTCATTCAGGCCGATCTCAGCGCGGGGTCAATACGCTCCCCCTGGCAGCCAAATGCTAATGCGCTTAAGTGTGCTTAAGCTGCTTTGTGCCGTGAATGAGCCCAAAGAAGGAGCCGCGCAGAAGACACTCTGGCTGTCAGAAAGTCATCTCCTCACACAGGCTGAAAGGAAGTGAGAGAAAGGACAGAAATGGATCCAATGGAAGTTTTTAGACTGAAGAAAGAAGCTTGTTTAGGGCTGTATCGCTTAGTTTGACGATTATTCTTTTGATTAAGATAGGAGATACACGCCACATTTAGCACAGACAGAAGTGTGAAACATGCTAAAGCTTAAAAATATAGTCTGTGCAGGATATAAATGGCAGGTTTTTTCTGGCCTAGTGCATTAGTGACTTAAAGTGACTCATTGTACAGTCTCCCACCTCTGCACCTTCTCCATCGACTCCCACTGATGAATGCTGTCGTTGTGTCCTTGGGCAAGACACTTAACCCCACTTTGCCCAAAGCCCCCACTGAAAGATCAAGGCTATGCTCACACTCAGAGAGCAGCCGTCCTCCTGTGGACTCACCACCTGCAGAGGGTCAGTGAGGGGCTGGGGCTATGAGACTTGGGTGGCATCTCTGACTGCCACCCCCCTGACCCAGAAATGGATTAAAGGGAAGAAAATGGATGGATGGATGGATTGTACAGTCTGACGGTGTTACTGACAGCCTTACTGCTCTGTTTTTAATGCCCCCAGTGCGATGTGCAATACTGCAATTGTCCACTGAATGTCACTTTATCTACTTATTATCCTGCTCTGTACGTACATAACTTAGCACTATATACAGATAGACAGAGATATGTTGATATTGAAGCATTTACAGCTAGCTAAGAAACATAGCAGCTACTCCTATTGTATATTTTGTGTGTTCCCTGTGTCGTTTTTTTTCTCAAAACATTGAAGTATTTATAACTGCTGTTAGTTTTGGTACTATTTGTCAGTCCCTAAATTCAGATTATTCAGAGTATTGTGAGAAAAAGACGTGGTCATTTCAATCCCTACCATAGTCTGATAACCAAGACTTTTATCAGCGTTAGAACCTGGACGTTAGCTTCACAAACTGGTCACGTCACTCAGCGGCGTTTAAAGAGCATTTCCCAAAGTTTAGTCCAGAGCAGCTTCAAAGGAACACGATCAATGCAACTGTTTCAGGTGAATTATGAAATATGGAGATTCTACAGCTGTTTATCTGTGTTTATAATGTGTGTATAAATGTAAATACTGTGCATTACTGGACATTTGTGGAGATTTATGAACATTATGGACAGAGGTCAGGTTGTAAGGTCCGACTGCAGTTGTGATTAAGGGCTATGAAAAAGAAAAACATTGAATTGAAATGACAGTAAATGATTCTTGTTGGATGGATTTTTGTTCATAAGCTTCATATAAATACATAAAATACAAAATAATTAATTAAAATATTTAGGTACGTTTTACAGGGAAATCCAAATCCACCGCGGATTCACCACAAAACAGAAAGAAGTATTTACAGCAAAGCATTAGTCAAAAATGCAAAAAGTTAGTAAAGTTAGGGTTATTTTGGCAGGATCTTTCTGCACAGTTATATTTATGAACGGTTATATTAAATATAACACAGTTATATTTATATATATTCATCCATGAGCACTTCCCTGTTGCTTCCATGAGCTACAGCATTGTCCATCTATACACAGACTATGATTACGACGTTTAAAATATTAATATAATCCAGTTTTTGTCAACACATTTTCGAGATTTTTAGGTAGAAACTTTATTTTTACGACATGAGAAGATTGGACCAACCCTCCCATTGCATGTCGTTGCGCATGTTAGTCTGACATTTCACTTTCCCCCTGCTCCAGTGTTGTCTTTAGCATTAGCCTTATGCTAACACGGGGTCAGGAGGTCCCAGGGAATGAGAGCCCGAGAGGGGAAGACAGTGCTTTGGCTCTGAATGGAGGATTATCCCATGACTGTCAAAGAGGAAGGAGCTGCCGTTTACAAAAAAAAAAACATAAAAAGGAGCTCTCAATCCCAGCTGCTGCTTCTGAAGAGAGGTTAAAGCAATCAAAGCCCAAACACACGCAGAAACAGAGCAGAGTCCAGTCCTGACAGATGGACCGGTCCACTCCCCACAGCGGCGCCCCGGTCCGTGCAGACCCAAACATATGGCCCAGGACGCCACACAATGAAACACTTGAGTTAACTGCTAATAATGAGACCAACAGCTTTTTAAACACTGAGTTAACTCACAGAATTAACTAAGCCCGGGGTAAATGTAGGAGCAGAGAAGAGGGAGGAGGAAGCCGAGAGAGAGCTTCATACAGAGAGAGCTTCATACAGAGAGAGCTTCACACAGAGAGAGCTTCACACAGAGCGAGCTTCATACAGAGAGAGCTTCATACAGAGAGAGCTTCACACAGAGAGAGCTTCACACAGAGAGAGCTTCACACAGAGAGAGCTTCACACAGAGCGAGCTTCATACAGAGAGAGCTTCATACAGAGAGAGCTTCACACAGAGAGAGCTTCACACAGAGAGAGCTTCATACAGAGAGAGCTTCATACAGAGAGAGCTTCACACAGAGAGAGCTTCACACAGAGCGAGCTTCATACAGAGAGAGCTTCATACAGAGAGCTTCATACAGAGAGAGCTTCATACAGAGAGAGAGCTTCATACAGAGAGAGCTTCATACAGAGAGAGCTTCATACAGAGAGAGAGCTTCATACAGAGAGAGAGCTTCATACAGAGAGAGAGCTTCATACAGAGAGAGCTTCATACAGAGAGCTTCATACAGAGAGAGCTTCATACAGAGAGAGCTTCATACAGAGAGAGCTTCATACAGAGAGAGCTTCATACAGAGAGAGAGCTTCATACAGAGAGAGCTTCATACAGAGAGCTTCATACAGAGAGAGCTTCATACAGAGAGAGAGCTTCATACAGAGAGAGCTTCATACAGAGAGAGAGCTTCATACAGAGAGAGCTTCATACAGAGAGAGCTTCATACAGAGAGAGCTTCATACAGAGAGAGCTTCATACAGAGAGAGCTTCATACAGAGAGAGCTTCATACAGAGAGCTTCATACAGAGAGAGCTTCATACAGAGAGAGAGCTTCATACAGAGAGAGAGCTTCATACAGAGAGAGAGCTTCATACAAAGAGAGCTTCATACAGAGAGAGCTTCATACAGAGAGAGCTTCATACAGAGAGAGCTTCATACAGAGAGAGAGCTTCATACAAAGAGAGCTTCATACAGAGAGAGCTTCATACAGAGAGAGCTTCATACAGAGAGAGCTTCATACAGAGAGAGAGCTTCATACAGAGAGAGCTTCATACAGAGAGAGCTTCATACAGAGAGAGAGCTTCATACAGAGAGAGAGCTTCATACAGAGAGAGCTTCATACAGAGAGAGCTTCATACAGAGAGAGCTTCATACAGAGAGAGCTTCATACAGAGAGAGCTTCATACAGAGAGAGCTTCATACAGAGAGAGAGCTTCATACAGAGAGAGCTTCATACAGAGAGAGCTTCATACAGAGAGAGCTTCATACAGAGAGAGCTTCATACAGAGAGAGAGCTTCATACAGAGAGAGAGCTTCATACAGAGAGAGCTTCATACAGAGAGAGCTTCATACAGAGAGAGAGCTTCATACAGAGAGAGAGCTTCATACAGAGAGAGCTTCATACAGAGAGAGCTTCATACAGAGAGAGCTTCATACAGAGAGAGAGCTTCATACAGAGAGAGCTTCATACAGAGAGAGCTTCATACAGAGAGAGCTTCATACAGAGAGAGAGCTTCATACAGAGAGAGCTTCATACAGAGAGAGCTTCATACAGAGAGAGCTTCATACAGAGAGAGCTTCATACAGAGAGAGAACTTCATACAGAGAGAGAGCTTCAGAGAGCTTCATACAGAGAGAGCTTCATACAGAGAGAGAGCTTCATACAGAGAGAGAGCTTCATACAGAGAGAGCTTCATACAGAGAGAGCTTCATACAGAGAGAGCTTCATACAGAGAGAGCTTCATACAGAGAGAGCTTCATACAGAGAGAGCTTCATACAGAGAGAGCTTCATACAGAGAGAGAGCTTCATACAGAGAGAGAGCTTCATACAGAGAGAGAGCTTCATACAGAGAGAGAGCTTCATACAGAGAGAGAGCTTCATACAGAGAGAGCTTCATACAGAGAGAGCTTCATACAGAGAGAGCTTCATACAGAGAGAGCTTCATACAGAGAGAGCTTCATACAGAGAGAGAGCTTCATACAGAGAGAGAGCTTCATACAGAGAGAGAGCTTCATACAGAGAGAGAGCTTCATACAGAGAGAGCTTCATACAGAGAGAGCTTCATACAGAGAGAACTTCATACAGAGAGAGCTTCATACAGAGAGAGCTTCATACAGAGAGAGCTTCATACAGAGAGAGCTTCATACAGAGAGATGCACAAGTGTAGAATAAGTGCTAAACCATAGAATATTGTTGCCCATTTACAATCAATACATGACCCCTGAATTTATCCTACATGAATAAAGTATCTATCTATCTGTCTATGTATCTATCTATCTATCTGTGTATCTATCTATCTATCTATCTATCTATCTATCTATCTATCTATCTATCTATCTATCTGTGTATCTATCTATCTATCTATCTATCTATCTGTGTATCTATCTATCTATCTATCTGTGTATCTATCTATCTATCTATCTATCTCTGTATCTATCTATCTATCTATCTATCTGTGTATCTATCTATCCATCTATCTATCTATCTGTGTATCTATCTATCTATCTATCTATCTATCTATCTGTGTATCTATCTATCTATCTATCTGTGTATCTATCTATCTATCTATCTATCTCTGTATCTATCTATCTATCTATCTGTGTATCTATCTATCTATCTGTGTATCTATCTATCTATCTATCTATCTCTGTATCTATCTATCTATCTATCTGTGTATCTATCTATCTATCTGTGTATCTATCTATCTATCTATCTATCTATCTATCTGTGTATCTATCTATCTATCTATCTATCTATCTGTGTATCTATCTATCTATCTATCTGTGTATCTATCTATCTATCTATCTGTGTATCTATCTATCTATCTATCTATCTGTGTATCTATCTATCTATCTATCTGTGTATCTATCTATCTATCTATCTGTGTATCTATCTATCTATCTATCTGTGTATCTATCTATCTATCTGTGTATCTATCTATCTATCTGTGTATCTATCTATCTATCTATCTGTGTATCTATCTATCTATCTGTGTATCTATCTATCTATCTATCTATCTATCTGTGTATCTATCTATCTATCTGTGTATCTATCTATCTATCTGTGTATCTATCTATCTATCTATCTATCTATCTATCTATCTATCTATCTATCTATCTATCTATCTATCTATCTATCTATCCTGTTTCCTGATGACTACTGTTGTTATTCAGGACTATACAAAAACACATTGAATTGAACTGAATTGAATCTATCCATCTCTCTATCAGTCTATCTCTCCATCTCTCCATCACTCTATCTCTCCATCTATCCATCACTCTATCTATCTATCTCTCCATCACTACACACAAATTGAGAAATCCAATGCGAGCTCACAACCTTTTGTCAGCTCTTTTCCAAACGTCAAACTATTATCACAGCTCTAAGTCTATTTGCGGCGGCGAAAAGAGCCCGCGCCGCAACAGACAGAAGGAATGCTAATGTTTCTCACTGTGTAATTAGATCCCATTATTTCCCGGGTGACGGCGGGACAGAGTGGACAAAACTCAAAGTATTCATTCTTCATCAGGAGCAGCGGGGGACAGGAAGTGTTAGCACTTTGTTAGCACTTTGTTAGCACTTTGTTAGCACTTTGTTAGCACTTTGTTAGCACTTTGGTCAAAACAGGCCATTATATCAGCGCTCTCTCTCTCCTCACGCTGCCAGGAGCCAAGTGTGTGTGAAGTACTGAGACCTCACCCACACTCCTGCCCTGGCTCCATCGCTCAGCCACGATATACACTGCAAAAAGATGAAACCAATCCAATCCAATCCAATCCACTTTATTTATATAGCACATTTAAACAACAGTTACGTTTCCAAAGTGCTGCACAAGAAAGTATAAAATAAATAACAACTTATCCTTAGCTTCACCAAGTAAAAAAGAATAAAAAATATAAAACAGATTAAAACCATAAATAGAAATAAAATAAAATAAAAACACAGAGGACCACACAACTCACGCCAGGCCACAGCAGACCACACCAGGCCACAGCAGACCACAGCAGACCACACCAGGCCACAGCAGGCCACAGCAGACATCAGCAGACCACACCAGGCCACAGCAGACCACAGCAGACCACACCAGGCCACAGCAGGCCACAGCAGACATCAGCAGACCACACCAGGCCACAGCAGACCACAGCAGACCACACCAGGCCACAGCAGGCCACAGCAGACATCAGCAGACCACACCAGGCCACAGCAGGCCACAGCAGACCACAGCAGACCACACCAGGCCACACCAGGCCACAGCAGACCACAGCAGACCACACCAGGCCACAGCAGACCACAGCAGACCACAGCAGACCACAGCAGACCACACCAGGCCACAGCAGACCACACCAGGCCACAGCAGACCACAGCAGACCACACCAGGCCACAGCAGGCCACAGCAGACCTCAGCAGACCACACCAGGCCACAGCAGGCCACAGCAGACCACAGCAGACCACACCAGGCCACACCAGGCCACAGCAGACCACAGCAGACCACACCAGGCCACAGCAGACCACACCAGACCACAGCAGACCACACCAGGCCACAGCAGACCACACCAGACCACAGCAGACCACACCAGGCCACACCAGGCCACAGCAGACCACAGCAGACCACACCAGGCCACAGCAGACCACACCAGACCACAGCAGACCACAACAGGCCACAGCAGACCACAGCAGACCACAGCAGACCACACCAGGCCACAGCAGACCACAGCAGACCACAGCAGACCACACCAGGCCACACCAGGCCACAGCAGACCACAGCAGACCACAGCAGACCACACCAGGCCACAGCAGACCACACCAGACCACAGCAGACCACACCAGGCCACAGCAGGCCACAGCAGACATCAGCAGACCACACCAGGCCACAGCAGACCACAGCAGACCACACCAGGCCACAGCAGGCCACAGCAGACCACACCAGACCACACCAGACCACACCAGGCCACAGCAGACCACAGCAGACCACACCAGACCACAGCAGACCACAGCAGACCACACCAGGCCACAGCAGACCACACCAGACCACAGCAGACCACACCAGGCCACAGCAGGCCACAGCAGACATCAGCAGACCACACCAGGCCACAGCAGACCACAGCAGACCACACCAGGCCACAGCAGGCCACAGCAGACCACACCAGACCACACCAGACCACACCAGGCCACAGCAGACCACAGCAGACCACACCAGACCACAGCAGACCACACCAGGCCACAGCAGGCCACAGCAGACCACACCAGGCCACAGCAGACCACAGCAGACCACACCAGGCCACAGCAGACCACACCAGGCCACAGCAGACCACACCAGACCACAGCAGACATCAGCAGACCACACCAGGCCACAGCAGACCACACCAGACCACAGCAGACCACACCAGACCACAGCAGACCACACCAGACCACACCAGGCCACAGCAGACCACAGCAGACCACACCAGGCCACAGCAGACCACACCAGGCCACAGCAGACCACACCAGACCACAGCAGACCACACCAGACCACACCAGGCCACAGCAGACCACAGCAGACCACACCAGGCCACACCAGACCACAGCAGACCACAGCAGACCACAGCAGGCCACAGCAGACCACACCAGGCCACAGCAGACCACACCAGGCCACAGCAGATCCACGGCCGTCCCCGGTGCCCGCTGCAGCCTCCCACAGACGGTAAATCAGACCTGACCCTCTCAGACCCGGACGACTGGAGCCGGGCCAGACCCAGCCACTCCACGCCGCCGCTAATTAAGTCCAAACACGGAGCTCCATCATTGACAAACACAGTAATGGGATTTAATACGGAGGAGGTGAAGGTGGCAGCGTTTCACTGAGAATTATCCAAAATGCAACCTCCGCAGAGTCAATAAAAGATTAGTCAAAAAGTGTTTTAAGTGTCTTGTAAAAACATTATCGGAGCAGAACGTAGACACTAAATCAGGGAAAACACGCGCCGTGCGAATGCCAAGGGTTCAACAGGTGCTGAGTTTATGATGCTAGGAGCTTTTCAGAGTCATATAACGTAATGTACAACTAAAACTAACAGTAACTAAAGAATGAACGTTTATTTGAACATGAATTAAAACAACAGAATATGAACAAAAAACAATAATACACCACAACGTAGACAAAACCATTTCAACAACACAACTTACTCATTTTGAAGAAGTGAAGAAGGTGCCAAAGCTTATTAAATCCCGCCCCTTCTCTCTTTATAAGTTAAATATATTGTATAAGTTATAAACAAACTTCATTCATCATTTGTCCAAGATATTTCAGAGTAATATAATGTCCAACTAAAACTCTTTCAAAGGCCTTTTGTAAAGCACAGTTCATACAAAAGCAAAGTCCAAGCACTTAAAAAAACAGATAAATGGTGTTTTTGTTCTTGTAGAGACGTGTGGGGCAGCCCTGCTTCTGTCGGGCTGTCCCAGGGCAGCTGCGGCAACTGTTATAGCAACGCAGAAGTGTGTGTGGAGTGAGTGGATAATGCAGAAAATAAAAATAAAAATATAATCTAAATGGGGCGACAGTGGCTCAGTTGGTAGAGCATTGGGCTTTGAGCCTGAAGGTCGTGGGTTTGAGTCCACCGTGAGACCTTCTCCACGACTCCCACTGATGTCTGATGTTGTTGTGTCCTTAGGCAAGACACTTAACCCACTTTGCCTTTAAGGAGTGCGGAAGTGATGTTCGCTGCTTGCCTTGATGTGTGTATGTGTATGTGTATGTACAGTATGTGTATGTATATGTACAGTATGTGTGTGTACAGAATGTATATGTACAGTATGTGTATGTACAGTATGTGTGTGTACAGTATGTATATGTACAGTATGTGTATGTACAGTATGTGTATGTGTATGTACAGTATGTGTATGTACAGTATGTGTATGTGTATGTACAGTATGTATATGTACAGTATGTGTGTGTACAGTATGTATATGTACAGTATGTGTGTGTACAGTATGTGTATGTACAGTATGTGTGTGTACAGTATGTATATGTACAGTATGTGTGTGTACAGTATGTATATGTACAGTATGTGTGTGTACAGTATGTGTATGTACAGTATGTGTGTGTACAGTATGTGTATGTACAGTATGTGTGTGTACAGTATGTGTATGTATCAAACTGAGTGAGGGACGAATAAAGGACCTTCTTCTAAATTAACACATATTTGTGACCGTCTGTGAAAACGACTACCCCAGGAACGTTCAGTTCAGTACAACTTATTTTTGTATAGCCCTAAACTTTACAAAGTTGTCGATTCGCAAACGACAGATCAGAAAATCAACCGCTTAAAACACAGGAAATACAATAAAATTTCGGCGGCACTGTGGCTGAGTGGATAGCACTCTCGCCTCTCAGCAAGAAGGTCCTGGGTTCGAATCCCGGTTGGACCAGGGCCTTTCTGAGTGGAGTTTGCATGTTCTCCCCGTGTCTGCGTAGGTTTCCTCCGGGTGCTCTGGTTTCCCCTACCACTAAAAATATGTACAATAGGTCTGGCATGTGCCTCCTGTACCCCCACTCCCAAAAATAACAATTGTAAACCGCTTTGAGACTCCGATGTGCAGTGAAAAGGCGGTATATAAATAAACATTACTTACTTATTACTTACTTACTTAAAAACCACAGAGAGTAGGTTTTTAGGATTGGAGTGGATCAAAAACAGAGGAGAAATTACAGACAATCAAACTTAATCTACATTTCAGACAAAGCTGTAATCGGAGAGTGGTAGATATTTATTGAAAGAGTGGCATCAAACTCTCAGACTGAGCACTTCTCTTAAGCCCTAACAGCATTTCCCCGCAGCTCCACGAGGAGTTTGCGGAACAACACTTGTCTGTGTTTCTGTGTTTGCCGTTCTCACACAGCAGCTCCTCATAGTGTCCGAGAAAACTCCTCCACAAATCAAGTGTCCTCCTCTTGTGCCTTTGTTTCAACCGCGATGAACTCACCAATCACGCCGTCCGATGGAGACTCTCCCATTGACCAACACTTGTCAACTACGATGGGAAACGCCCGGTTATTAACAATACACTCAGCCTCAGAGTGACCAGTGCGTGACCCTCATAAACCTGGTCCAATTCACCCACACTGCCTCCGACACAGACCCTTCCCATGGACTCAGACGTTCTGAAAAACGGACCGCAATGTTACTTCGTTGGGGGTCCTGGAGCTGCCACGCCTTCGCCCGAAACGTGTTGAGAGGTAGAGGGTGGGAGGTGGGAGTGCTTGGCGTCCATAATGCTGCCAATCTATCTTGCGCATTATAACATCTGGGAAACTTCTCTAAAAACAATAGCAGCCATTGAAAGCCGCCATTCGGGCTTTACCTCCAGAATCAGTGCTAAAGCATTTGTCCCCAATGGAAGGGCATAATAGACAGGCAACAAATCATTCAAGACAACGGGACATAGGGGTGTGAGAGAGAGAAGGGAAAGTGGATAAGCTCTCTCTCTCTCTCCTCCCCCCCCCCCCCCCCCCCCCCCACCCCTAAAACCGGTATTTAACTTGTGTGGTGGACAAATTGCCCTGCATGCTTGTCTATTGAGAAGCGGTGCGGCGCGTAGAGAATGGGACAGGGCTGAAACACAAGAAACAGGCCTATAAAAATTCATCACTTTGACCCTAGCGACCCTGTCCCTCCACTTGGGGCGGGGGGGCCAGGGGTGGGGGGGTACCAAAATGCGGCATCACGAACACGGCCACCCACCTACACTATATTTACCTCTAAGAGACAAACAAAAAACTCCCGGAGCAAACATGGCCGCAGATGATATGCAAACATCTCGAGCATTTCAAAAACTTCTGCATGAGTACAAGAAGATTCGAAAAGGGGAAAGCTTTGATTTGGTGACACCGGGGCAGACAATGGGAAGCTTAGAAATAGCCCAACAGATGCCGCTTTCAATGGCCTCTGTGTAAAGTATTGCTGGTAAAAGGCAAATGGCGGTAGGTGGGACTCTTGGGGCACATTAGTCCCTATAGTTTAAGGAGGACATTGTCTCGGCTGCTCCCTCGACACACCTTACAAAGAAGCTAAAATGAGAGATTTAATCCAAGAGTCCTCCCCTGCCACTTACAGCCACGGCCACTTTCCACGTCCAGACCGCGGCAGATGTCGGCGAAGACTGGTTAACGCCAACGTACGGAAGCATCAATGGCTAACTCCTAATGTGGCATTCATTTGAGTGGGTTTTGTTTCATCAAAAAGGGGAACGAGGGGGAAGCTTCGTTCATTCAAGGTTTAACTCATTACATTCTGATCCGGTAAAGGACAAAACTAATTCAGTTCCAAGTCTGAAGCCTGGACTGTGTGGCTTTCACATGTGTTTTGGGAGAAAATGAGCAAATAATGGGGCATAGATGTGAGGTGAAAGAAGTAGCCGGCCCCCACAGCACTCATTTAAATGGTTATAAAGACACAGTGGTCTGCGATGGGAGCTTTTTATACCCTTTTTATTTACTATGTGCACGATTACAGACAACAAAACTGGAACTCTGTCATAAAATCTATCTAAAGTGTGTTCTTATGAGATGAAGCTCGTTGTGTGACTCAAAAATGATGTATTATCTAAGAAACTAAAAGAGATCGGTGCTCCATCTTTCAGTAATTATTAGTAGTATCAGTAGTATCTTAGGAGAATACTTTGTAGTAACTTCCACGATGATGTCTCTCTCTAGGGATCAAATCATAGTTAACGTTTGGATTTGCCGAAGTTGCCTCGTCAGCAGAATCCAATTAGATTCACTGTGTTCTTGTACAGACCTACATCACAACAGCAGTCATCACAGATCAGAGAATCAAGGGGCAGACGACCAATGTCCTTAAATGTTGATAAATGTCCTTAAATGTTGATAAATGTCCATAAATGAATGACTAAAGTGACTACTAAATGCAAATACTGTATATTTATCCAATTCACCGACACGGCCATTGTACAAATGTGTGTGTACATCCATACTGTAAATAGACAAACATGTGATTATTACTGAACACAGACCTTCAAACAGCTCCACAGTCCCTGGACTCGCTCCTGGACTCACTCCAGGACTCACTCCAGGACTCACTCCAGGACTCACTCCAGGACTCACTCCAGGACTCACTCCTGGACTCACTCCTGGACTCACTCCTGGACTCACTCCAGGACTCACTCCTGGACTCCTGGACTCACTCCAGGACTCACTCCTGGACTCACTCCAGGACTCACTCCTGGACTCACTCCTGGACTCACTCCAGGACTCACTCCAGGACTCACTCCAGGACTCACTCCAGGACTCACTCCTGGACTCACTCCAGGACTCACTCCTGGACTCACTCCAGGACTCACTCCTGGACTCACTCCAGGACTCACTCCAGGACTCACTCCAGGACTCACTCCAGGACTCACTCCAGGACTCACTTCTGGACTCACTCCTGGACTCACTCCTGGACTCACTCCTGGACTCACTCCAGGACTCGCTCCAGGACTCGCTCCAGGACTCGCTCCAGGACTCGCTCCTGGACTCGCTCCTGGACTCGCTCCTGGACTCGCTCCTGGACTCGCTCCTGGACTCACTCCAGGACTCACTCCAGGACTCACTCCAGGACTCACTCCAGGACTCACTCCTGGACTCACTCCAGGACTCACTCCAGGACTCACTCCAGGACTCACTCCAGGACTCACTCCAGGACTCACTCCTGGACTCACTCCAGGACTCACTCCAGGACTCACTCCAGGACTCACTCCAGGACTCACTCCAGGACTCACTCCAGGACTCACTCCAGGACTCACTCCAGGACTCACTCCAGGACTGACTCCTGAGCCGTCGATCGGGGAATAATGAACTGTGCATCGCCACTGGTTCATTTAAGACGATAAACTGGACACTAATGAGACAATATGCAGCTTTTAGCAAGGTTATTGCCCTGTGTGTGTGTGTGTCTGTGTGTGTGTGTGTGTCTGTGTGTGTCTGTGTGTGTGTGTGTGTGTGTGTGTGTGTGTCTGTGCGTGTGCATGTGCGTGTGTGTGTGTGTGTGAGTGTGTGGTTGTGTGCGTGTGCGTGTCTGTGTGTGTGTGTGCGTGCAGACAGTAATTGCTGGTTCCAGTCCAGAGTATCGGAGGCTGTCGCTGATTGGAGCTGCTTTAACGAGACCCACGGCCGCTCATTAAGTTCATTACTGATCAGAAACTCAATAATCTTTCATATTTTCCAAGTTCATTTATGATGCTGGGATCATCAGAAAGCTGAAGACCCGCTCTTAAGCCTGACCGAGAGTTGGTTCGTCAATTACAGATCATTCAGACGTCCATCCATCCATTTTCTTCCCCTTAATCCATGTCTGGGTGGGGGGGTGGCAGTCAGAGCACCAGCCCTTCACTGATCCTCCTGCAGGAGCTGAGTCCACAGGAGCTGAGATCTTTCAGCGGGAGCTTCAGGCAAAGTGGGGTTAAGTGTCTTGCTCAAGAACACAACGACAGCAGTCATTAGTGGAGTCGTGAAGAAGGTCTTGTGGTGGGCTCGAACCCACAACCTTCAGGCTCTAAGACCTACCAACTGAGCTACTGTCGCCCCACATTCAGACGTCAATGAGTATAAACTGAAACAATGTGCTGCCATTTGTGTAGAATAATAAACAGGGGGCGGAGTTTAAAAGACTTAAATGTTTTCTCAAATTATTATTATGCTTCATCCCACGCTCCTCACAGCAGCAGAACCATTGATGTGAACGTCATTTCCAAATGTTCTACAGGTCATTATTTCTTCATAACGGACCTCTCAAAACAATAATGACCGCTGCCCTTTGGCAACACACTCTCTGCTTGTAATCCATGTGTGTAGATTGCTCCGCAAGTAGTTCCGGCCACTCCGGGGCTAGCCACGCTCAATAAATGACAATCCCAATCAATCAAATCACTTAAATGTTAATGGGAGAATACACTAGACAAATACATCCTTAAAACACATGCACGGAGGATTTCAGTATCTGTTAAGGTTTTCATGACAAAAATACTCATGAAAACACATATACACACACACAGAGAGACAGACACACAGACACACACACACACACACACACACACACACACACACACACACACACACACACATACATGTTTTTGCTACATGGTGAGGACCAAATTTTTTGGTGTGTTTAGGACCTACCGCGTGGGGTCCTCACTTTGAACAAGAATTTAAGGCATGTCTTAAGTCATAAAAAAATGATATAAAGACAGATAATTTTTTTGGACTGTGGTCTTCCTGAAATCATGTTAATCATCACAATTCATTTTTATTTTTTTTGTCCGATTTTTCTATTCTCCTGGGGACCTCATACCATAAACCACCAGCGGGTGTCACTATTAAAAAAACCTTGTTTTAGTGATGCCTAGTGGGGACCTTTCTTCACACATGAACAGAACTATTACAAATGTATATGAAAGCTTTTCATTTTGATGAAAAGATCCTGCTGAAGAAGGTAAACATTAATAACATTCATAAGTAAGCTGAATTTTAAGAAAGATGGGTATCATATTTTTATTAACTTCGTATTGAATTGAGTGTATCTCCATCTTGACTATTTACTGTAATTATGTATTGATTAATGATCTGTGCACCTAAGACTAATAAACAAAGTTTAAATAATATATCTTTTTTATTATTATTCTTAGCAACATGTGCATATTATTTTCTGCATAATCATGAAATTATGTTGAATTGATAGTATCACTATGAACTAAAACTAATGAGGTATAAGATTCAGCCCACTGCTTAATGCACATTTTGGTGCATGAATGAGAGCATGGATGAGTGGATCCTTGATTTAAGCGCTTTGAGTGTCTAACAAAGGTAGAAAAGTGTTATATAGATGTAACCATTCTCTTTTATTAACTTGTTTTCTGAAAATACCACAAGATGTATGGAAAACAAATCACAACATCTGTAAACTGCACAGCAAACTAGGCAAGGAGAGAGGAGAGGAGACAAGGAGAGAGGAGAGGTGACAAGGAGAGAGGAGGAGACAAGGAGAGAGGAGAGGTGACAAGGAGAGAGGAGGAGACAAGGAGAGAGGAGGAGACAAGGAGAGGAGGAGACAAGGAGAGAGGAGAGAAAACAAGGAGAGTCAACAAGGAGGAGACAAGGAGAGAGGAGAGAAAACAAGGAGAGAGGAGAGGTGACAAGGAGAGAGGAGGAGACAAGGAGAGAGGAGGAGACAAGGAGAGAGGAGGAGACAAGGAGAGAGGAGGAGACAAGGAGAGGAGAGGTGACAAGGAGAGAGGAGGAGACAAGGAGAGAGGAGGAGACAAGGAGAGAGGAGGAGACAAGGAGAGAGGAGGAGACAAGGAGAGAGGAGAGGTGACAAGGAGAGAGAGGAGACAAGGAGAGGAGAGGAGACAAGGAGAGAGGAGAGGAGACAAGGAGAGAGGAGGAGACATGGAGAGAGGAGGAGACAAGGAGAGAGGAGGAGACAAGGAGAGAGGAGGAGACATGGAGAGAGGAGAGGTGACAAGGAGAGGAGCGGAGACAAGGAGAGAGGAGGAGACAAGGAGAGAGGAGAGGTGACAAGGAGAGAGGAGGAGACATGGAGAGAGGAGAGGTGACAAGGAGAGGAGCGGAGACAAGGAGAGAGGAGGAGACAAGGAGAGAGGAGAGGTGACAAGGAGAGAGGAGAGGTGACAAGGAGAGGAGACAAGGAGAGAGGAGAGGTGACAAGGAGAGAGGAGGAGACAAGGAGAGAGGAGGAGACAAGGAGAGAGGAGAGGTGACAAGGAGAGAGGAGAGGTGACAAGGAGAGAGGAGAGGTGACAAGGAGAGGAGAGGAGACATGGAGAGAGGAGGAGACAAGGAGAGAGGAGGAGACAAGGAGAGAGGAGAGGAGACAAGGAGAGAGGAGAGGAGAGCAGACAAGGAGAGAGGAGAGGAGACAAGGAGAGGGGAGAGGAGACAAGGAGAGAGGAGAGGAGACAAGGAGAGAGGAGAGGAGACAAGGAGAGAGGAGAGGAGACAAGGAGAGAGGAGAGGAGACAAGGAGAAAGGAGAGTGTTTGTTATGCTAATGCTAATTAGCATTAGCATTAGCATTAGTAGTAGACTAGTAGTAGTAGTAGTAGTAGTAGTGATAGTAGCAGTATCAGTAGCATTAGCATTAGCAGTAGACTACTAAAAAAACAGAAATTCCTTCTTAGTCATTTTCAAATACATTTAGAGTCCACTGACCACTGGATCTCTAATTTTACAATAATAATATAAACGGCATCGGCAGGATTCGAACCCGCGAGCATTGGATCTCCATCCCTTCACCTTAACCACTCTACCAACAGCGGACCCACATTATGTTGGATATTGACTCGGGGTCATGATTAGGATTTAAGGGAATCTGTTCCGAAGGTCGCACAGGCACAAACCACACCTCTACGGAATCGGCTCGGCCAGCTGAACGCAACGGTGTAAAGCTTTTGACCCTGCAATGTTCAGCCGCGAATTTTTTAAAAAATGCGCCTCGTTAAGTCTAATTACTCGGCCAAACGAGGTCGTACAACGATAACGGAGGTGTCCTTGGAAAGCCCTAGATGTGACGAGTCACATATATGAGCTGCAGCAAGGTGGCGCTGTCCTCCAACCAAAATCAGGACTTTCCTGGATTTTCCTGGCCACCGAGACCCTCCTCTTTTAAAAAGCGGGTGGCTGAGCCAGTTGAAACTTTGGATTAATGTTCAGCCTGTACGTAGAAGGGTGCGTACCAAGTTTCGACTAGTTTGGATGAAATTTGAACTTTTAACAAGCCTCCAAGCACTTTTTGGGCCTTCAAAAGCCTAACCTTAAAGGGGAGGTGTACCAACATTTCAACTTTGGACTACCAGCCTCATTTTTGACTATGTTACACAGCAGGCTATTCTGAGCTCGAATATGTAGGCGCCCGCTCAAACCGACCAATAGGAAGCAAAGTAGCCAACCGAGTGTCCGAGTGGGTTGAAACTTTAGATTCTCGGTCGGACGGGGTTGAAATGGGCGTGTGCCGAATTTGGACTCGTTTCCATTAAATTTGAAGCCGTGACGAGCTTAATTAGCGTGAGATTTTTTACCGAACGAAGGCCCGCCCACCGAGAACCGTAAGGCCCCCGGAGGTCTACCCTACACCGTTGGACTCGTCTCGTGGCCCTCTACCACATATCCAAAATTCAGGCGTCTAACCCCTTCGGAAGTCCGAGTGACCGTTTTTGGACCAGAAGCTAAAGACGGTCTCAGGACCGTATACCCTTACCCTACCCTAAAAAGCTAGGCAATCAAAGGCCAAAACCTGTTCCGAAGGTCGCACAGGCACAAATCAGACCTCTACGGAACCGGCTCGGCCAGCCGAACGCAACGGTGTCCGGCTTTTGTCCCTGCCATGTTCCACCGCGGAGCTAGGGGGCGACAACCGTTTGAAACCGCTCCCCTCGTTAAGTGTTATAACTCGGCCAAACGAGGTCGTAGAGCGATGATAGAGGTATCGTTGGAAAGCCCTTCATGTGACGAGTCACATATATGAGCTGCAGCAAGGTCCGCCAAAATTCAAAATTCATTCACCGATTGTAGGGCCGTTTCAAAAGATACAAAGTTATTAGTATTTTCCCAGGTATCGCAACGACACAGGCTATGACCTGTCGAAATTGTAGAGCTCTAGCAGCAACTTTGCGCAAAAGTGTGGGAATTAGAACTGGCCCCTATTTTTCCCGCTATCCCAGCGACACAGGCTATGACCTGTCCAAATGGTAGAGCTCTAGATCTAACTTTGCGCAAAACTTGGGAATAAGAACTTGCCCTTCATTGAGCGTGTCCAGCTGGTGTCAGAGACACCGCTGTGTGAGTGGAGACCCAAAAACCCATTAAGTTAGCATTAGCATTAGCATTAGCATCACCATTGACATCACCATTAACATTAGCTTTAACATTAACATTAGCATTAGCATTAGCATTAGCATTAGCATTAGCATCACCCTTTGACATCACCATTAACATTAGCTTTAACATTAACATTAGCATTAGCATTAGCATTAGCATCACCATTGACATCACCATTAACATTAGCTTTAACACTAACATTAGCATTAGCATTAGCATTAGCATTAGCATCACCATTGGCATCACCATTGACATCACCATTAACATTAGCATTAGCATTAGCATCACCATTGGCATCACCATTGGCATCACCATTGACATCACCATTAACATTAGCTTTAACATAACAATTAACGTTAGCATTAGCATTGGCATCACCATTAGCATTAGCATTAGCATCACCAGTAGACCAATAGTAGTAGTAGTAGTAGTGTGTAGTAGTAGTAATAGTAGCATTAGCGTGGACATTAGCATGGTTAGCATCTTTATCGGTAATATTGAATAACATATAAATGTGGAAGCTCCCTTATACTTCCAGATTTAATGGACGTACATATAAATCTGGAAGAAAAACTTGGAAGTAAGCGATTTCAATGCAAAGTCAATGGGAAAATCAGGATGATGAATTCAGGAGTAAAAAGTGCCTCTACTCAGCACTTTTTACTCCTGAATTCATCACATCTGAATCAATGAGCTCACGTTTTACATTCAATTACGTATTATAATACAACTTGAATGTAGTAACTTGGCGTGACGCTCGCTCTCCTCCAATCACACAACGAGGCTGCGTTAGCCTCTATAGCGCTAACACAGAGGCATGTTAGCATAGGTGGCTATAACTCCTCTGGCAGTAACTGCAGACACAGCAAAACAGCCCAAACCACACAACAGTGAGGAAGAGAAGAGGAACTAAAGCTCGAATATCTACGCTCGGACTATCTCTGTTCAAACTACGTTTGGACGGGAAACTAGCGGTAATCTTTCAGTGATATATTTTGTTACTTTTGTACCATTTTATTAGTGATTATTGTACAGCTTACAAGAACTTGCGCTCATGCTAATGTTAGCATACATACCAGATCGCAAATAAAACTAGACTGAGAGAGCGTAAGGGAAATGAGAAGCCTGTGAGCAAGTTGGGGGTGGTCCTAAACATTAAAACCTTGCAGAAACGCGTATAGTTCCTTTAATTCACCTGTTCCTCCAGCTCTAGGAGGCAACTTCTGTTGTGATTTTGGACTATTCAAAACCATTGATTGATTGAAAACTAAAAATGCAAGGAATCATGACAAACTGTGATTAACAAATCTTACAAATTCTTGAACAATAAAACCCAAAAATACCACTTTAGATCATTGCAAATAGTATTGATACAGGTACATAATTTTTTTATTCATTGTTACAGCTTTAGTTGAATGGAAGACCAAATTAGATTTTGGATTTTGGATTTCGATTTAACTGCCTTAGGATACCCGTGTCTATTTCCTTCCTTTTTACTGCCCATTCAGCATCTTCAGTAGTTTGTTAACCTGTTCACTCACAGTGGCACTAAAAGAACAACTCAGAATCTGATTGTCATCCGTTGACCATGACTACACCACTGGTTTGGTCATTGGTGGGAGCCCCAAACACGTCTTTACTCCAGGCGGTGTCTGGGTCATCTTCCGGATGGCTCTGTAGATGTTGGACACAGAAACCTGAGTCCTCCTTGTCGATTTGGCTTTCTAAACCTCTTCCTCATGTCCCTGCTGCCCTTTGCTGTGTTTTGATCCTCCAGCCAGCAGTGTTCATTGTGTCCATTAAAATACTTTATCAAAACTTTAGTAAATATAATTTGTAGGTGACTAAAATTAGACTAAAAATAGTTTTTGAGTAGAAAGCTGTGACTAAAATGTCCAGATGATTTTATCTCCTTAAATGTAACTAAATACAAACATGGGAGGAGAAACAAGAAGCAGAGGAATGTGATTAAATGTAATTATAATGAATTATTATCATTATTATGTTATGGAACATAGTCATCTAAATTTACGTACAATTTCAAGTCAACTAAAACTAGATTTACTTGATGTCTCTTGACATAACTGGGTTTTCACCATCCACACCTGCGTCCAGTTATTTGATCTACGATGTTTGTGTTTAGTCATGACTGAGAACCTACATTGTTTCATATAGATGCATATGTTTATTGAAATTGTGGACTCTTGATAGTGCAATTAATATTGCTGGACTACTGACATTAGTACATTTAAGTTTTCCAATTATATAGCGACACAATTGCTCCATAATAATTCAGTGTACTTCTATATTCATCGGTTAAAGAATATGTCAATATGTCGAATATTGCTTTTAAAATGCTAGTTTTCATTGTTGATTTGTTTAATTTTGTAATTATTATAAAATATGCTGAAAATTGGGGGTTCAAAAGTTTTATTATCATTATAATTATGTTTAGTAACATCATCATCATTGTTATAATAATCATTCTTATCATAGATGTTATAATTAAATCCTGTGTATTTTTGGTGAAACAAAGTGCCTGTAGAGTGAACACACGCAACAAAAACAACAAAACTTGGTGGGGACTGCAATACTTATATTGACCTTTAGGGGCCGATACTGAGTCCACACACACAACAAGAACACCTAACCTGGTGAGGACTGCAATAATGTGTGTGACCT